TTTATATTAGGAATATATAAATTATATTAGGAATATTGTGTAGAACATTTGACAATGAGTGAGTACTATACCGTACAGGTTACACTATACACTAAATGGAACCAATGACATGTGTGTGACTTTGTTGAGAAGTCGATCGAGTAAATTCATTATACGAGCTATGTCTAGTTCACATAGCTTCGGCTCGCAAGGTCGGGTCACATATTACACCGATGCAATAAACTTCAACGTGGTCCCTTGTAACTCGGCTGTTGGTAGTCGGAATAAGTCATAAGACACATTTATTACGAGGCGCGGTGAACGGCGCGATCTGGCACAAGGCGAGCTGTGGACATTTGACAGTCGCACACAGCGGTACGAGTAGGTGCGGGGCCACTCGGCACAAGGGCCCTGCCATTGATTCTATGCCCGAGGTCTGATCTTATCTCGCTTCTGAAACGTCTTAAGACTGATAACATAAACTGTTGATCACGCCATATGTGTTTGTAGGAATCCGACACTATAATATGACCAGCGCTATAACGTAATAAAAGAAATGTAAAGTGGCAACCAGTCAAAGGCGTTGGTATTTTCATCAAACAAAAATCCAGTAGTATTACGTTTTTTTTTAAATTTAACATAAGGCTTACTAACTAAAATATATACTAGATATTTCACAAGAAAATATTCATACAAGTACATACTCGTAGGTATGTGAATGCTTTTAAATTAAAGGTGAGCACAGCATTATCCATAAGTGTACATACATGTAGGTCTTAAAATTTGAACTACGTTAACAAGGAAATTATGGTATGGTACTATTTTTTCGGAGAAAATGTCTGTCTATTTTATTATTAATAGTGTTAGTTAAACGTCACTATAGCCACAGAAATCGGCTTTTGTGATTTCTTTTGCACAGTCGTTGCCGTTTAAAACTATTGCACAGTCGTTACTCCTTAAAGCTATACACACAGGTGAACTTACTCGTAAATATCAACCGTGGTGTCAACCATATGTTGGTGTTACAACAATTAAATCGTTCGTCGAGCCGTCGGCGCGTGAGGCGCGTGAGGCGCGCGAGATCACAGATGAGCACATCGAGCACTGTTAGAAAGTGAATCGGCGGTCTAATCTATTCAGCTCATAAATACATGGAATGACACGTTTTTGTCTCTTGTCGTCGTCATTTACTTTCGTTGAGGAATTTCATTCGAGTTTCTTTGAATGAAAGTAAATATGTACTTGTGCCTCGAGTGGGAAATTAAACAACTCGCTTATACGTTTGTGTCTACAATTATCTATATTTATGAAAATGTCATGTTGGTTTGTGTACGCTTCAAAAAATCAAAAAGTTCTGCACCTCGCTCTTCAACACGCTTCAAAGGTTGTTTTTGTCTATTAGGGTACAGCTAGTTGTTTATAATTATTATGCTCATTTACACTTGCATACTAGTCATTCGTGATACTATCAAATTATAGAAAATAACAAAAACAAAACTATAGTTTACCAATAAATGTCGTCTATATATAAAAAAAAGTTAAACATTTAGTGCCCATGGATGCATACCACCCTCCCTTAGAAATACTACTTACACTCCCTAAAAGAGCGAACAATCCTTCGTCTTTTACTCCAGGGAAGTATTTAAGTATGGAGTGGAACTTTCGTAAAGCAGATTTACATGGCTTATACACTGAGGTTGCTAATATTGACTGGACTGAACTACTTGACCAGCAGAATTTAAATGTAAACCTAGCCGTAGATATAGTATATAATAAACTTAATAGCGCTATTAGTACACGAGTTCCCTTAAGGACAATAGCTCATAACAATAAATATATATATCCCAAATGGTATACCAAAGAAATAATATCTTGTATAAAATTAAAATATTTTAATTTGAAAAAGTTTAAATGCGATGGTTTAGAGTTTAACAAAGAACTTTTTAAATACTATAGGACTAAAGTGAAGGACCTCATAAATACAGCCTTTAAAGAATATATATTAAAGGTTGAAAACAATATAAGTTTAGATCCTTCAAGTTTTTGGCAGTATATAAAGGAAAAGCGAAAAAATAGGCAGCAGACAAAAACATATACTTATAAAAGTCAAGTTGTAGAAGGCCAGGAAGCCATTGACTCGTTTGCTAAATATTTTAGTTCAGTGTTCCACGATACTTCTCCGTTGTTAGATGTAAAGGTAGCTGAGGAAGAGGCTAATCGTTTAGGCTGCCTATCCACAGTGACTATTGAACGAGTTACAGCTACCGAACTTAAGTGTGCTGTACGGCGACTAAAAGCTTCAATAGCTTGTGGTCCTGACAACATACCTGCCTTTTTAATAAAGGATTGTTTGTCAGCTTTGGAAGTGCCGTTACTTCATGTTTATAATCTCTCGCTTAGACAATGTTCATACCCTAGTAAGTGGAAAGTGTCCAGGGTGACGCCAATACCCAAATGTGGAACATCCGCAGACATAACAAACTACAGACCTATTGCTGTATTGTGTGTATTTGGAAAGATATTTGAATCTGTCCTCAATAACGCCATTTATAAACAAATAAAGGGACAATTGAATGATTGCCAGCATGGGTTTCGTCCTGGACGCTCCACGTTAACTAATCATTTAGAATTTGTAGACTTTATAAATACTAGAGTTAAGTCTGGCTGTCAAGTAGACGCCGCATACTTTGATTTTAAAAAAGCGTTTGATCTCGTCGATAATGATGTACTTTTAAACAAATTTTCTGTATTGGGCTTTTCAACTTCTCTATTAAAATTTATGGCAGATTACTTAAAAGATCGTAAGCAGTTTGTTAAAATAGAAGGATATAAATCGGAAGAATATTATACTCGATCAGGGGTCAGTCAGGGTAGTACCTTAGGTCCTATGCAATTTCTGATAATGATCAATGATTTACCTAATGTTATATTAAATGCAAAATGTCTGATGTTTGCCGATGATCTCAAACTGTACCTTTCTGTAAATGAAGCTAAGGATTGTTTGGCCCTACAACATGATATTGACGCTGTAGTTGAGTGGAGTCTAAAAAACAAGTTATCATTTAATAATTCCAAATGTAAAACTATCACTTTTTCTCGATCCCGTAATCCGATTACAAATACATATCATCTTGCAGGCGCCCCAATGGAACGTGTTCCCTCAATCAAGGATTTGGGAGTAACAATGGATAACAAATTAAATTTTCATGACCAGATACTTAAAATATGCAAAGACGCTAATAAATGCCTTGGTTTCATCATCAGAATATCTTCACAATTTAAGAACACTCAAGTTATAATCCAAATATACAATACTTATGTGCGTAGTAAATTAGAATATAATGCAATAGTCTGGGGTCCACGGGAGTCGTTGTATAATATTATGATAGAAAAAATTCAACGTAAATTCTGTAGATACCTATATAAGCGTCAGTATGGATACTACCCCTTTCTCTATCCTTCACTGTTTGTGTCAGGAATGGTGGGTTTAGATACACTTCAACTCAGACGGGAATCTACACATATAATGCATTATTGTTTGATACTGGCGAATAAGGTAGATAGCCCTGTTGTACGGGAAACAATACATTTTTATGTTCCCGACCAATATATGCGTGCCGTTGGAAGACGACAACATAGACTCCTGTGCTGTCCGCCTACGTGGCGCTCTCCCCAGGCTGACCATAGCCCCACTGCTATAGCAATTAGGCTTATCAATGAGTTCCTTCAGAATAGTCCAGATGCAGATATATTTTTCGACTCCCAGAACATAATTTTAAAACATATTTATACATATCTAAATTTTAAAGAGTAATTTTATAGTTCCTAAGTTGATGTAAGGTTGTTTTTGTTTACAAATTTTATGTTGTTTCTTTTTGATGGTCTGAGTTTTACAATTGTAATAGTATTTAGTTTATTTTTGTTAAAATTAGCATAGATATAAGCGATTTGGTGTATACTGTGATGCTTATATTTTATTAATAAAGAATTGAATTGAATTGAATCACACATTTCGCCAATATTGATATGTAAATTTAAATTTTAATCACATTACATTACAAATCAAATTACATAAAAGTTGCATTTTAAATTTAAAAATTAAGACGCTTAACTAAATTAAAATTATATCATTACTATATATATATATATATATATATATATATATATATATACAGACATTAAACACATCGAAATTTGAAAACATTTAAAATTCAATAAAATTATAATTTAATTTACTTTAGATTTCGAACTTTCAGATTGAAATATTCGTTCATGCTATAAAAAGTTTGTATAACAGCCATTTTTTCAATTGAGCCTTTATCTTAGACAGTGGCAATTCGCGAATTGACTTGGGCACTTTATTAAAAGCTCTAATACATATTACATAACAGTTACTATGAAAAAAGAGCCCCTACATGGAGGCATTAACAATCTAGTGGGATCTCTTTTACCTAGGACTGAATTGTCTCTAGCACTTTTTTATTCACTTGAGATTTTTTTCACATGTACGTAAATTTGTAAGATATATCAACCTGTAAGAGTGAGTATACTGCCATTTTTAATTAATGGCCGGCATTAATCTAGTGGTCCTGCATTTATTGAGTGTCCCCATAACAACAATCCATATCGTAGTACAGATTCCACGTTTCCATAATAAGTTTGTGCTGCATGTTTGCCTGCAATGTGTTGTAGAGCGCAAATACAAATTTATTCAATTTAATACAGACGTTTTCGACATGTATTTTCCAATTATAGTGTTGGTAATATATTATACCCCAGATATATTTTCACCTCGGTACTCGATATTTAAAGTTTCGTAGTTCTCTTATAATTAGAGAATTTAATAAACTTTGTTTTTGATAAATTATTGGATTGAAGCCATACACAATACACGTAGTAAGATAAAAGCTCGTCCTGACTTCTTTTATATTTTAAACCCCTAATTAAAATTAATTGTGATAATTACGAGTATTTGACTGTGAATAGTATAGAGATATTTACAGCAGGTTTATTGTTGGCAGGCGGCGCCCACGCGCAGGTGCGATACTACGGCAAGGAGGTCGGCGCTCTGTCGGAGCTGCAGCACGGCGTGCGCGGCGTGGTGTACGCCGTCGACTCTCGCACGCTCTACATACACGACTTCCACTACGACGGAGAAGGACCTGGTATGTAACTACCTATCAGTATTTGTGTTCCTTATTCACGGTAAGGGAATCCATTGCCATACAATTTTAAGACATGATATTGTTTGGCATAACGTTTTTATTACAAAAACAAAAGTATTTATGGCAAACGTTTATGTCTAATAATATTACGCGGAATGATCATTAGGCTGAATATCGTTATGACAATACATTTAATGCTTATCATTACTTCACCGTAACGTTAGCCCCGAAGGAAACACGAATTACTGGTTAATAGTATAGTTGATTTTGTATTTTGTTATTTTATAGCGTATATATTTAATTATAGCGTATGTTATCCCAGAGTTATCACTTATATGTTGTTAGAAATTTCATTCTCAATTTGCCGATTTCTTCAATACAATTAATTAATCTTCACTGTAATGACTACAAATTACCGCCGTTTCTTTTTGGAAACCAGGAGTGTAACCATGATTTATTAATGAGAATATTAGAAGGGGATAGAAATTATAACTTCAAAGCTTGGATAAAGCAGAAACATATCACAACTCAAGTTTGACATAACATTTGAACAAATAATAAGTAAATAAATAAAGTACAATAGATACTCAACTACAGTTGAACAATTGCCTAGAAAGCGAAGTGTCTGTCAAGCGCAGCGTCGCTTATTTTATAATAACTCTTAGGCAAGTATAATTGTATGAAGCATTTAACCTACTTAATACTCGTAGTTGTTGAAAGATCTTACAACGAGTTAATATACGTTCGTGGTTTAAATAGTCTTCTGCTAAATAGCTTTCAACGGCGGTCAATAGTTTCCAAAATAAGCAAATTACAAAGAAGTAAACAATTGACGTGCGGCAATAAATTACAACATCGAGCAAATGTCAGATGCATTATAGCACGTCATTACACAATGTAATGTAAATGTAACCTACAGACGTATAATTTGTGACGTCGGAGGCTCCAATGATGTTAGGGGCTGTGGTTATAATCGTTTAGACGGTGATTTGTTGGTAACTTGTTCTTCATTAGTAGCTTCGAAGCGGTTTAAATAATACTCGTGTTGTATTTTGTACGTTATTTGTTAGGCATGAGGAGCTTACACACATGTGATAGGCTCATGATCTGTGGTTAATATGAGAACGACAATTTATATAGAAAATCAAGCAATAAAGACTACAGCTAAAAACAATATTTATTATGACTGAGGTGCATTTAAATGAGTGATGCTTTTCTAAACACTAATTATATTATTATTGTACTCACCAGTTAACTTGTATGCAGTGAAATGTGAAAGCGTATCATACGTTGCATAATTCGTTATTAAAATATAAAAATATTATCTAATTTGTTTTGATGTATAGAAATGGTTATTTATAATTCTCACTTTATTCGTTATTTTTTTAAATAAATCTGTCACGATTGAAAGGGTACATTTTCCTCTACATGTGATGGATTAGATTGGAGACAGCGCTTCCTCAGTTCGATCCAGTCGCCGACATGTATCGGTATTATCCTGTAGCAGATGCTCTTTAAAATGAGACCGTAGTGGGCCATCCCCACTGTTTGAGCGTCACTGAATAATATGATAGGCTTGAGTTGACAGGACCAGGCTTTCTGTCAAATTTTATCTGAACTTATTGATTGATTGATTTAATGAGTACTTGTTGAAGAGAGCAGTACTATTTATATTTTAATCATTTAATTTGTAGGTATCGTACAATATACATAATTGCAAGAAATTTAACTGTGCTTAACACACCGACGTATTCAATATTTGTTAAATGTAATAATAGTATAACGGGGTAAATTCAGTATTGTCAAATGTAACTAAGGGACAGTTTTACTAATGTATCTAGAACGACAAACAATCGAATATTAATTAAATTGATTTCGAGTTCATTTATTTCAAAAAATAAGAAAAGTGATTTTTTTTTATAAACAGTCTTGCAATGAGTGATAACAATCTTGATGAGTCTGTAAATCGACTAATCTATCGAAAATCGATAATAAACCAAAAGATAAAAAAGTTAAAATCGTTTTATTTACGATATTACGAACAGATGTGAAACATGAGCTTAAAATTAATGGTACTGTTGTATTGCGTCGGGGTTAGAGGCACAAGTGCGCTAAAAATGCACCCAATGCCAATTAACAGTCTGTGGCGAAGCTCTGTAGAGACGTGTAGAGGTGTGCTAAACTAATATAAAAGGTGGGCATACCAAATAAATCATCTGCCAGACGACTCTCTACTTTGTAGAGTGCAAGACCTGCTTCCGTGTTGCAGGCGATAAATAGCAGCATAGCATGCGCTACCACTGCACCAACACAAAGCCGCCTCGTAAGGTAACGTATTTACACGAGGCGGCAACCCCCATACCTTCCATGACTGAGAACATTTTGGCTTTGTATATTGTAATGCTATGTATCTTTTCAGTATTTCAAATGTTCTCACTGTACAAATACTACTGTTAGAAAAATTCGATTGGCTGATTAAAACCGGTTCCTTTTGATTTATAACCACTTATTATCAATCATCATCATCAACAGCCTTTACTAGTCCACTACTGGACATAGACCTATCTTTAGAAAAGAGGTTTTGGCCTACTAAACCACGCCAGCCAGACGGGTTGGTATAGATTTTGTTTCAAGTTTTCCTTATCTTTGCAGTGCTGTTATCCTGCGTAGTTTGCCCCCTCCCATGGGATGAAGAGGGGTGACATTCTCTATTCCTAATCCGCCACTACACGGACTTCAATCACTTATGAAGATTGATTTTATTACAAATATCCGCTAAAAATATTTTTTGCATATTTATAATCTGCAAGGAATGTATTAAATTATGAACTAAATTAGCGAAATTTAGATAATTGGTTTCCTTAGTTACGGCTCAACTTAAGCTGCAGTGCTGAAGTTGACTGATTGTCATATATGTGTGTATAGAAGTGAAGAACCGGTTTACTGTGTACATGACCTAAGCTTTTTGACTAGGACAGATTCCTCGTCGGGCGGTATGCTTTAACCTTTGCTATGTGCCGGCACATACTTTGCGTTATGAGCTGGCAGCCTCCTGAGTGCGGCGCGTAGGTATGTGGGAGGCGCACCGCTATGTCTTGTGAGCTCGCATCTAAAGGACCCGGGGTGCCTTTACACGTTTAGTGTACCCATACAATAAAGATTTTAATTGTAGTTATTATTTTATAACGCATTGGTGACAACATTGCTTGGGGATGTACTCGTAGCTAATCGATACGAGAAACGGGATTGAGACCAAAGAAGCAAACGACGCAGGTCAACAGCACAGCATAGACAAGGAAAACTTGACACAAACCCTACACCAACCCATCTGGCCAGCGTGGTATAGTAGCTAAAACCTCCCTTCTATGGAGAGGGGTATGTCCAGCAGTGGCTGTTGATGATGATGTGATAATCAAGTTGAATAATTTTTTTTTTATCACAAAAAAGGACTTTAAATATCGTAGCTCAGTTGTTGAGAAAGCCAATAGATCATGGAACACCATACTAGCACGCTGAGGACCGGAGCCGTGTATTACAAGTACGAGTGAAACTGCGGGGATCGGTTAGCAATTCTATACACTCCATATACAAAGGGAGTCGCAGAGAAAAGATACATTTCCCGCAACTCTTAACGTTGAATCTCGTCAAGACGATAGCGCGTTACAATTGTTATTCAGTGCAGTTAGTCCGATACCGGCGCGTGTAGACGTGTATCGGTAAGATAAATGGCCGATACACCAGGTACCTGTTAGTGTCGTTAGTGGTACATTGCGTTTTTAGTCACGGCTCGATTTATGATAAGTTCTTAACGGTGTAGCATAACAGTGTCACTTAAGTGTCAACAAATTATTATATTCCTTATTCTATTAAAATTCTGGCGACTATATTGATCAAATGAAAACTAATCATACAATTGAAGAAGTACTTTTGGCCTTATTTTCTAAAAATCTGTTGCACCAAACGTATGTGTATAAGCAAATTTTCTGTAAATACAAGCTTATAAAAGAGCATTAATAACTTATTAAATGAATGGATATTCTAGTATAATACAATTAAACATCTACTTATATAGCGAAATATTGAACCCCTATTATTAAGATGGCTGTTTTTATTAAGGTGCGGTTGGTGAGGTGTTTACGCGCCAACATCCGGCGCACGTGGCCTACTCGGACATCAACTGTCACGCGAATACTCGCACGATTTACCTAACGAATACAGACCAAGGCCTTTTGAAAATATAAATTTGTAGCACACAATTGAGGTTCATACTACCTTAAACTTACAATGTTCTTTAGGGAGTCAAGAGAAAGCAAAACCTAATTTCAACTTTAAACGAACCTCTAAAAGTGTTTTTTTGCTTTGCACACATTTATCGTAGTCATTGACAGGCGTTGATAGCTATCGATGATTGATGAATGTAACCTTTGACATATAAAAATTATGCGACTGCTTTCGTTTTGTGTATATCTGAAACTGGTCACGACAGTTGGATGTGGCCTGGGCAGATCTCTGTACTCGTTATGAGCATGAATTGGTGTTAGTGGGCAATAAATATACTAAGCGGAAATAATAGAGATGTAGAAAGCGATATATAAAACAAAAGAATAACAAAAATACATGTAAGGATTGAATGAAATGAAAAGGTTATGTGTGTATATGTGAGTAGGAAGTTAATATTTTTATGTGTTATATCAATTCTCAATATAACTTGAGCGCGAAGTCCCAAGATTGATTCTCAGGAATGGCGGTTTGCTGGCGTCAACTAATGAAGGAGATAGCTATCGATTTTCAGATCTATATGTATGTAGGTAAATATTATATCTTATGAAATCATGAGTGATGTGTACACTTTTTGAAACTTTAACATATGTACATAAGACCTTTTGAAAAAAGTTGGTTAAGGTCAGAAGCGTTAATAAAAACTGTGATGTAGGTAGTTGTATACGATGTATAACAAAAACAAATTATTATTCGTAGTTTTGTATACTTCAATAAACATATTAGAACTCTGGAGAAATCAAGCCGATACAGTATTTCATATGTTCATCAAAATGTTTTCATTGTCCTAAATAAAAAAGGCAAAGGCGTTGCGGTAGGTGAAGAGCTTGGCGCGGGTCAATTAGATTGGATAGAGTAGATGTGAACTAAACTTGCACTTGGGCCTCTGTTCAGAAGTCAACACTGGATATCTGTTTTAAAACTATATCAAAGTATGTAGTTGTTTATCAGCTCAGATAGAACGAGGCGTTGGTACATTCAGTGTTCATGTACTAATGTACTTTACGTTTCCACTTCATTATGACATCTAACGAATAAAGTTTTCGCGGGAAATCGATATTTATGTGTAACACTCACAAAATATTGCCTCCGGTCGCATGTCAGCGGAACTAAATATAATTATCACTGACGAGGATGTCAGTTTCCTGTTCCAATGATCGGTTTTTAGACGGAAATTTATCTGAGTAATATGTTTCACCGGAAAAACGTCATTATACAGACGAGACAATACTTTCAATTTGCATTTAAAATATTGGTACACTTATGTTTCCTAAAAATATGATCTTTACGTTATAATTGAATTTGCGCTTGAGGGCCGCGACCGAAGAGGCATCGAGCTGTGGCAGCGTGCTGTTGGCGGTGTCGTTGAACACTGCCAACGCATTCAACAGTCTACCTTTTAGCTGTATCAGTTAAGCACTCTACTATCTATCGGTGCCAGGGTATCTGACAAGGATAGTGGCAGGCTACATAGAGGAGCGTGCCCGTGGAACACAGGGCACGACTGGGCCCTTCGAACTTATTATTCCCCCGGGCTGGGTGTAATTTAATACGCCTATGACACTTTAGTCACAGCCTGGGGGGTGAACTTTCAAGATGCAGCGAATCTAGTCACCAGGGGAGTCTCTCTAGTGGTCGGGCGCATTAATGCGTTGGACTTACGGGGGGCCCTGGATAAGACTTTTGTTCCATGGGCCCCGTCGTGGTCTTCCTGGCACCTCAATCAGATCAGAATCAAGATTCAGATTAAATACCGGGGCCTGATTTTCGACGGTGGGTGGCTTTTCAACGAGCACTTCTAACAGCTTGCTCCAAATCTGGTCGGCACTGCGTTAGCCCGTGGGCGACTTTTGCCTAATCTGGGTGGACCTAGCGTCGCGACGACACGGCTGTACACGGGGGTTGTCTAGTCATGTGAGTCCATGGCATTGTACGCTGCACAGAATAGGGCACGTCTCTGGCGCCATCGTCAAGTGGGCAGGGCGGCAGCACGGGACCCTTTCGATCCGACTTACACAAGTTCTTTCCGGGCACGGCTGCTTCGGGAAGTACTTGCACTGGGTCGCTATGAGGGAATGAGTCCCGCCTGTCACCACTGCGATGGTAGTGAGGACTGAGTAACTGTTATAGGGTATTAAAATAATGACTAAAGCCATAGCCTTGAAGCCTTGAACCGCTTCTAGTTTTAACTTTCGAGATATTTATCGTTGTATTGAACTGTTGTATTTTTTGGCAGCTGCGTATTTCTACGTGGGCACGAGCACGCCGCCGCGCGCCGGCGCGGGCTCCTTGCGGCTCCGCGACGAGCGTGGCGGCACCAGCCCCCTGCGCAAGTACAACGGCGAGTCCATCACGCTGTCCGTTCCCGACGGCAAGACGCTCCGGGACTTCCGCTGGTTCAGCGTCTACTGCGATGAATATGAGGTCAGTTATTACCACTACGTCATTAAGTAAGTATAAAGTTCTTTACACCGTAGGTGATTTGCCTTTGCCTATCGGTACTTAAAAAGGTAAACTACAGATAGCATTTCAGTTAAAATTCAGTTTTTCTTTACGTGGTCTTTTGTGAGGCGATTTTCTGCTCTATTATTTGTGTTTATGCTGAGAATACCTGCTTATTAATGAATTTGTATGGTCATATTTTTGAATTTGGTAAAAAGGTTTACGAGTTGTAAAAGTTTTTACTATACATATATGTATAGTATAGTACTTAAGTGTTTTAACTGTAGACAGAGGACTATGAAACGCCAAAATGTTAGTCTTACCTTTGCCCCTTGTTAGGGCAAGCCTATTGAAGTTAAAAGGACATATACATATATTTATAAACAAAAATTGTCAAATATTTCCAAACACGTACACATTATAGATAAATATAGCACATAAGCCTTCTACAAAGCTTAAATTCATTCCCTAGCCATTAGTTCAGCGAAAGTGTGCAGAAAGAGTCATTTTGTGTCAAAAGACTGTGAGACTCAGCGTGAACCTTTATAACATTATTGCCTATACAACTTGTGCGAAGCTGTGTGGAAAATCGACTTCTTACTATAATGAATAAATGATTAAATAAAGAACGTATTATGTTAACTACACCCAGCTCGTGTTCAAAGCCTACAGGGGAGCCTCTCTAGAGATTTCAATACAAAATTAATAATAAATTGCTCTCGTCCTTATCAGCAGAACCCCCACATAGATTACCCTCCATAGGGAGTAAGTAATTGTTAAATTTTCTACTCAATTACATTCACCCTAATATTTCATATCGGGAACTCATACAGACAAGCTATTTTATGATCAGCTAACATTGTGAGACGTGAGAGGGGGGAGGGTGAACGACAATATGTTCGGTGTGGGTACGCAGATATACGCGACACGCGGATAATATCCGCCGTGAGCGACAAGAGCTATGAAGACGTTAGCGCAGGTGGCATCGGGACTGAGAGTAGGCGGAATTATAAAATCCTAAAATATATACACGTTTGATATGAACGATTCTATACAAATATGTACGTCGGTGACTCTTTCTATTTTATGTCTATTAAACATAATTATATAAAACATTACGGAGTACTTACGATTTTGAATGCAAGAAAAGCCAGCTCCTTGAACCGGTCTCCAGACTCGGCGCGGTGTACAAGCGAGGCTACCACTTAAACCCTTGGCGCAATGCGACAGTAATGTCACCGAAACTATACATGTTCATGTTTTAATTAATCGACAGTCTGCCTCAAACGCTTTTACTTGAACCTAAGTCAAATGTTTGCTCGCTCGTTCGTACAGTTTATTCTCAGTTTCTGCTCTGATTTGGATATTGGTGTAATTGCACTAAGGTGATTAATATATAAGCAAACGGAAACTTCTTTATACAAATCAAAATTTTACATTCAAGTACATTTGAGGGTGCAAAACCGATGAAAATCTTATAAGTTAACTAAAATAAGGTTTGTGTTTTTTTTAATTTTTTCATTTTTTTAGTCTTTTTTTTTATTATTTTATTTTTTTTAGTCATTTACGTACGAATCAGTGAATATAGAAACACATATAGTAACTTGCTAATATTACTAATATTGCTAATATTACATATTTTTACAGCACTACTTCTATACGAAAGCTACCTGGATTCCAAATGATTTGAAAAACGTGTACGACGGATTCCTTTCACATATTAATATGAGATTTAAATACATTTTAAATCATCCGACCCACCATTTTATATTCCGCTACTGAGCTTGATCATTAGCTATCCTCATAGAATTTTTCTAGTCCATTTTGCGCAGGTCGTCATTCCACGTTTTGCTAGACGCGGTCCGCAGCGGTTACAGTTATTGACTGAATAGATATTTAATGCGTCAATTTTTTTTATAAAGAGTCATATTTGTTATTTAAGAAACTCTTCCTAATAGACTCTCAACCACTCCACAAACCATTCCACAAACGGATGGTCTTTACTACATTTACGTATTTGCTTTAATTACTCGTGTATTTTACCAGCGGCATTTACTCACCCATGCCATGCAGATTGTCCATTTTACTAGAATAACTTTGTTGAGTTGAAACTAGCGTCTGAACAGAAAAACAGAGAGCCATTTTTGTGAAAGATTTAATATTTAATTTACTTGTTTTTGGAATCCACTGCAGTACAGACCGAGGTTGTATTTCTACGCCTATTGCTGTGTACCTTTTATAAAACTGTCCGTTATTCATACAATTTACTCACTACCTATCTTATTTCACATTTTTAAACAACTAGTGGGTTTTTCAGAAAGCTGTAGAAAAGATTTTATGTTCTGGTGTAATCTCTTAAACAATGGAAACTAAAAAATATAATCAACATAAGTTAATAGTAATATTAAGTATAGAATATAATATATTATTATGTAGGTATGTTTGTGTGTACGCGTGCTTGAACGCGTGAGTGAGCTGTAGAAAGTTACAAGTGGGAGCTAACTTTATATTCTTTAATTGTTTATTTGACAATTATGTATTAATTTTAAAAACAATTCGCATTTTGCTACTCATAACGAAATTTCTCGTAGAATGTAATGTGCTGAAAGTTATATAATTATGTTTTTTTCTAAATTTCATAACATTCTTTAAGACTCGCGTTACTTTTGTATATTATTTTTTATATTATTGTTAATCAAAACTACACATTTGTAATATATGGTATACCTGTACGCAGGTAAACTTCGGCGACGTTTCGATCTCACGGAGCATAGAGTACCCTCGGCCCGCGAAGGTGGGCGCGCTGAAGGGCGTGCACGCCGTGTCATCGGACCCTATCGTCATAGTGGACGCGCAGACCATCCTCGTGCCGAACTTCTCGTACGATGGCGAAGCTCCCGGTGAGATACCTACAATATGATTATTCAATTACGAGTTTCTTTTTGGTATACAAATATATTTTTAATAGATTTTTCGTTAAACTGTCTAGCTCTATTCCATACTCTAGCACTCTCACTTTTAACACATTCCATCAAATCCAATTGAACTAAATAATTGAAACAATATGTTTTAATCGGTTTAGAAAATTTACATGATTTCTTGCAAAACCCTTGCGAAGACAAAAACTTGTCAAACTAATAAATATTTTTGCAATCTGCATGCACAATGTAAAATATTAATGTAATTTACTAAAATAAATATGTAATTATTGACGATATATTTAGTATGATTATTCGGCCAATAGCAATTGAAAATAATATTTTGTAATAAAGTTATTAAATAGCATTAACTCCGTAGTGGCTGTACTGTTATAAGGTATATAGTATCCATTGCCATACCCACCTAACATGACGTTACACAGCACAGCCCGTCTCCCAATTCACCCCACCCTACCCTTATTCGTCTGTAACTGTTTGAATGAAACTTATTAATGAGTCTTTAAAGTATTGTTTTACTTACCCGGCCACTGATGTGAAGGCCAATGTGAACGCGTCTGTGCCTGCCCCTGAGTACTAACGAAGTACGAGTAATAACGAAAGACCACATTTATTGGTCTATGTCAGGGTTAGTTACAGGAGCCGTTTAGTCTTTCCCATGAAAATTAGTTTTATTGTAAATATTGTTTAGTAATACATTGATTAATAATATTGCCAACAGGAAGTAACATCACAATAGTGTTTTAAACATGTCCGAGAACTATTTATTTCAATTGAAATGTGTCACATTTGACTTCTCTCACAGTTATCAGTCGACAAAACATTTGTTTTGATGTTATCATACTGCTGATTCTCAGACTGTGGCTGGAGCAATCGCCCTGAAATATGCCTCATAGACTGTTGATATACGGCAGGCATTTGCACTGTGCCTTGAACAATGATTGCAATATACGGCGCGAGGCACCACCTGAGGCCTCGCAATAATCGCTTAAAGCCTTCCTCATCAACAAATCAGCCAAAAACACGTCAATTTCTACGAAATACCTAATAAAAGGTTTCGGTATTTCAGCAAAAAGAAAAAACAAAAAAACAAAATATTGGCCGAAGTCATTAAGTTCTGTTAAGTGTAAGATGATCAGGAAAGCTATGTTTGACTTTTGAAGCAACATTTGCCCTAATTGTGATGTGTATCGTTTTTCGAAACTCTTCTTAAACATTTTATATATTTAATTAATCCTCTTAAGAAGCCAACGTTGAAATGAGAACACATTATTGCACTTGGGATGTAATTCAAGCACAAAATCTGTCTTGGCTAGTTTTCACGTACAGGTTAAATTATACTCGTATTTATCTAATGAGCTTATCTTCGTTAAGTCATACCCAGGTTGGTGTACTTCCTGTTTGTACTGTACTTATACTGTCAGGTTGATATAATAACTATGTTACTTTTTGAAATTTGGTTAGCTGGTAAAAGCTAGCCAAGTCAAATTTTGAGCTTTATGTACAGAAATTATTTGTAAGCATCATGAATACATTGTTATTTGTAAAATTACTCTTTTTTCCTAAGTTTACGTTGTATGTTATAGTTTCCTTTTTTGTGCTGTTGTCCATTTGTTCTTGTACCTTCGAAATATTAGAGTGAATTGCCCTTTCATTATCTACATTTTTTTACGCGTTTTTGTTTGTTTTTAGTTTGGCAAAAGCTTTTGACCTATGAATTATGACCTCGATTCAAGAACCTGTTTGACTTTGACTTTCACATCCATGGTAGGGGATAGTGAGACCGATACTAGCTCCACTTTGGACTGTAAGTTAAAGCTCCAACAAGCACTTAATATGATCCTTAATGATACATGAGGCTGTAGGCAACTGACACTATGGAGTGTGTATGACAATAACTGGAGTACGTGATGCAAATAGACATACATAAGAAGCATAAGTGGATTTATTGGAGTGATAAGGACAAAAGTAATGTTCTAATGTAGTCGTAAATAACGCCCACCGTTATATACGCCAAGTACACTTTACGCACGTCATGAATATGTATACTCTGTATTGCATTAGTTATAAAGGTTATAAACTCACATTACATAATCTAAAGTGAGTACATAAAACAGCGCCGGAGTAAAGGCCGAAAATTTTCATCTTTCATCCGTCGAAATAAGGTATTAGTGTAAATATTAGCTCGTGAGTGGGTATTGATATGGATTTGTCTGGACAAGATTGGATTTTGGCCTTTATTGGGACTTTATCCGCGTCTCTTGTAGATTCAGGCTCAGACATCAAAGAAGGTAGTGAATAGACCGCTTTTGAATAAGATTGTGTCAGAAAAACTACAAACTTGTAGAGATTCCCAACATTTGATACGTACGTATAACATCTTACAAGTACGTAACTAGATCCAAAATAACTAAACTAAATTTAAACTAAAAATAGGTTTTAAACACCAAATAAAAGTGACATTACAATACAAGACAATTTTCTTGTGCTGAGAGAGCTTGCAAATCCATGATTGTGAATGCAAATTTTATGATACTAGGGCAATGGGAAGCATTCTCTAGGTTTTGATTTACAGCCTCTTTCTTTATGTAGTCGAAACCTCGCAGGTTATGAACTCACCGATATTACAATGAAATGCTATGTCTTAATCGAACTTAGAATGAGGTGGAACATATCGCAGCCACCGTCTCGTTCATGCCTCTACCAGGATTCCAAACATTACCGTCTGTCACCCCCTCCAGGATAGTGCTCCTGAAATCTGAAGATCGTTCTTGGCTCTCCAGCGTCTGGTCCTTCTTTTGCTGACAATATGTTTTTATTGATTCACCTGCGATGTATTAAAATTGCTTATTATATTGAAATATGGGACTTAAATGGCCGTACCTCTTGATAGTGTTAACTTAGGCGCTCGATTTTATCTTTTCTTAATGCAACCTTTTCTTTTATTAAGGGAAAAGGTTTCAATAGAGAGGTGGAAAACGAAGTGACCCTATAAGGATTCCCTTCTTCCTTTTGAAGGGGTTCCTCTAAAATATATTTTTATGTATACGACGATATTTGATCTCTCGTCAGTCTTTTTATTTAGAACACCCCGACTTAAAAGAGTGTTTTTGTAATACAAAATTATTGAAATATATAATCATCAATTTTAATAAAAAACGTAGTCACGTACTTGTGGAGTGACTGGTTCTTAGAAGTAAAGTATGAAGGTTTTATATTATTTGAACGGTAAGGTGGAAGTACACCATTACACGAGTGTTTAGTTCACTAACAGTGTCTGGTAGCGTAGAGACAAATATTTTAGCAGCGCGACCGGACACCGACACATTATTTGTCGGGGCTGAATACCACGCAGGGAGCGCTTGTGTCAAAGTTTGCGTTTGGTGGGGAATGGCTCACAGCACACACAACACATTCTTTCCAAGCTTTTACATTATGAATGCTTTTGACGCTTTGTATGGTGAACATCGCGTAGCCCAAAGTTCTATAGCGGTGTGTGATAGTTGAGGTAGTATTATTATTCAGATTTGTACTTAAGTGTAAGCGTCGTTATATTATAAAGGATTTTTTCTCTTTCTTGTTGTTGAAATAGATTTGGTCGCTACTACAGTACAGTTCAAACAGTACAAACTATTGTGGTGACTGGTAAAAGGTGCTGGTACTCGTATTTTTAGAATCGAAAAGGTGTAAAGTGCAATGTTGAACAATGTTGACAATAAAATAAAACGACTCTCTCGTACTACTGTACGAGTATGATCAAATATAGATAAAGTAAAGTAAATTTGTACTCAAATTGTAGCTCACCGACCGACTATTGAAAACCGTCAGTGCAGCCCGGTGGCAACATCAGACAATTTGAAGGAACGCAATGATCAACACACCTATCACATGATCGTGTTAATTCCCAATCAAGTTCATAGCTATGTAAAATGGAAAGCGAATGTTTAACCGTTAGTATAAAAGAAAATGGTTATTTAGTATATCCTAAAAATAATTAGCCTTTGATGACCGCCTAAATGTTGTTGTTGTTGACAAAATAATGTATTTTAGATGATGACACGTTTTCTTTAATTGACGTAATTGAAACGACTGAATACATTGTATATGATTTGATGAATGTCCATCTCGATAATGGCAATCAGCACACCATCTATTACTTTCTAAATATAGGCATTTTAATTAGCAATAGGAATAAATGTACAATTAATGTGAGAAATTATGCATGGATACGTTTGAATATCTGATGACTCGTGCATGTTATATTAAGGAGGGTCTATTATGTATTATATTAATTATATATTAATCAGTGAAGCGATGTCGTTTTTTTTTTCAACAAACACAAATACAGTGAGAGAGTTAAGCCGGTGTCCTTCAGTTGAAGGCTTACATTTCTTTGATATGAGTTTTGAATCATATATGTTGTATAGTAATAAGGTTGTATATACTCATGTTAAAAATTATAAAACGATGACATCTTTGTAAAATGTTCACCTACACTCAAGTTGCCCAAAGCGATGTGATTTACAAGAACGTGCAACGAGGCACGATCGTACCACATATCAAGGTGTGTAAATACAGAGATGTGAACATATGTGCGATTGTTGCAGATGCCAAGTTCTGGGTGGGGCGCGGCGACAGGCCCTCGCCCCAGGGCATCCGCATCCCCGACGAGAATGGCAAGGAGGTCCCACTGCGCCGCTACGATAAGAAAACCGTCGTGCTTACACTACCCGGGGTAAGGTTGAACACCGCTTATTTGTATTTGGTTTCCCCACAATATACCAGGTATACAATAATCGTAACTAATATTGTAAACTATCTACTGTCGGCAGCTTTGCTCGCTTAATAGTTTTTTTTCAGTCCTTCGGGGTCACTATTTTTGCTGAATGAAAGGTACCATGTGTCAAAGTTTTATGATGTCCGGTCTGTTAAGGTTATATGTAGTTATAAAGCGTAAAAATGTGACAAACAATAAAAGTCACACTCATAGCTTACCGTCAGTTTCGTTGATTTAACACATTTTATAGCCTAACTACCCAACCAACAATCATTATTTTTTGCAAATACATATTTAGCCAGAACATAAAAGGATATAAGTTATCTCTCATTCACAAACTGTTGCTGAGGGATTTATTTATTAACAAAATCTACCTAAACGCGAAACAGTCTCGAGCTGAATGCTAGTGCAGTAACATTATGGGTGTGTTAAACAGGAGCTGACGGTATTCGACATCGGCTACTTCGCGGTGTGGTGCGAGGCTTTCACTGTCAACTTCGGCCACGTGACGCTGCCCTCGGCCGCGCTCGCCAACGTACCACCCAGTCTCAAGATGCTCGGAGTGTCCCCACAGGTAGGTCCCCACAGGTAGCGACATAGGTATTTAGCGGTGTTACAACTCGCAAGTACTGCCATTAAGTGCCATAGTACTATGGTGCAGAAATATCACTCATTGCAGTCATTTAGGGAAACGGAAATATCTGAATAATGCCATAAAACAGAAGTTAGCTAAAAAAAACATCTAATTACTTGTCCTTTCAAAAAATTTCATGCGTCTAATATTACGTAAGAGTTCTTTCAGTTGTCTTTAAATTTATTAAAATATTTAAAGATCAGAATTTGATGCATTGATATACTTAAAAGTTGAATATAGTAAATATATTTTATTTATGAAATGAAATATATTGTATTCCACATCAAGGAATGAAAGTTACATTACATATGGGGTTACCGGTAAGTCGACCTAGATACTTTAAGGGGCTGTAGTTGCCAACATTTGTGATATATTTTACTATGAAATTTAGAATATTTAGAATATTTTTATTAAATTCAGGAAATTTTGCCTATTTCTTAGAATTTATGTCCTTTATTTTATGCTTTTTTACTTACTGTTTTTCTGTAGTTGATAAATTGTTTTATAATTTTAATTACTAAAATTGTACTTAACTTAGCAAACTAGGCCGAAGTGGATGGTTAATAATAGCAAAAAGAAATAAATTTGATGACAGTTAAACTGCAAATTTATAAAAAACATGTACGGATTCTCAGCTATCTAAAAACTTATAATACTTATGGTTACAAATTAGCGTACAACGCAGTAGTACCTAGTTGAAACCTTGGCTTGTATTTTTGGACTGTTTCTTTGTCTATTTATCACTAACAAATTGCTAAGTGGATTTTGATTTGTTCTTCTGATACTGTTGAAGATGAGGACCTATACGGACGAGGAATACGCTGATATTCTGATTTGTTATCCGCACGAGCGACCCAACCTCTTCCAATCCACATATTACGATAACTAGAATCTAGCCATTCTTTACACTTCTGTAATGCACAAGGCAACTATCAAGTAAGTTAATTAAATTTTGTGCCCAAAAAGTTTTTGTTCTGTTCTCGGGGAGAAAAAAAATCCAAAGACCAGGGTTTGAAGATACTCATCTACAGATTCCAATTGAAGCGTCATTGTAACCCCTTAATCCGCGTTATTTTAGGATTTATCAGTGCTTTTGGTGCTCAATAATTAACACTGAGGCTAATTGGTTATACGGTTTTTATCAGATTTGGACTCATATGCATGAAATGTCTCAGAAATAAAATGACGGATCTTTTAAATCTGCATTAAGCATAAAGCTGCAGAAATCCAACCTTTTCTGATACTATCCTAGACCCTGTTATTAGATTATACCCTGTTAAATAGCTGAGAATACGTACATGTTTTGAATAAATCTATAGTTTAACTGTCATAGATTTTTTATACATTATACGGCAAAGAAAAAAGACATTAACAAATTTGTTTCTTTTTGCTAATATTAACCACCTACTTCGGCCCAGTTGTAGTTAACACTACAATTTTAGTCAATGAAATGATAAAACAATTTATCAACCACAAAAAAGAAAAAACGGTACAAAAAGCACAAAATAAAGGAATAAGTCCTAAAAAAAATTGTATTTTGCAAAATTTATGTAATTTTTATAAAAAAATGAAAAGTCCAATATCTTGGAAATGGTTAGGTTCTGCCTTTGGTATTTCATAGTGAAAGCCATCAGAAATGATGGCAACTACAATCCCTTAAAGTGTCTAGGTCGACTTACCCAGTAACTCTGTATATAGTATACATAAACATTATACGGAAGGTCGGACAAAATCCCTTTCAGCGCAACACCAATATATCATTATTTATTTCAAACGAGGATCGATCTCTCAACTCATCGTATATTTGTAGAAGCTCAAAATAAGATATAACGAACAATGAAAATCTTCGCGAGTAAATTTATTTTGTTTTATAGAAGCAAAGAACAACATTTTCAGGTCAAAAATAAATTATGAATACAAAGTAGACCGCACCGGGCACATTTTTAGACATCTTTATTATGTACGAGTTGATGAATTGTGTCAATATGACATGAACAACAACCGGTGCGTCTCGTGTTGCGCCAGGCCCAGGAAGGGGCTGGGGGGGAGGGTGAGGTCGGCTGCAATAAACAACTGTCTTCCCTCGTAAACCTCCACTCAATAAAGATTAACTTTAGCTACGCACAGTGACACCACTACGTAAGTGACTGGGAGTACGATACCTTTGCGCAATACGGGACTGTGTAGACACGTGCTACGCAGCTGCTACGGCTCTGCAACATTCGAGTGCTATGAAATGCAATTAATAGTATAGTCTTTTGACCGTTTCCATCTTAAATAAAACAATGTCGTACTTTCTTATCGTGGTTTTTAAGTTTTAGTACCTTTGATAGCATATACTTTTCCCGTTAATATGGATTTTGTCAATTAATATTTTGCAGGATAGAATTGAAAAAACATAATCGCAATTAATCTTAGCCTGGAACATAGCTTCAATCACTTCACGTATTACCTGTATAGTAAAATAATTTATAATCACCAGATTTGTCTGTACATAAAAAAGACAGCGCCGCTTACAGTATGGCCTGTGCTTGTGGCCAAGTGTGCAGTTAGAGTTTTTTCTGTCGTTTGTAGAGTCTGCACTCCACAAAGACTCTATAGTATTATTGCGGCTGTGCTGCTGATGTTTGGAATATTTCTATATTCAAAATTCAATACAAATTTACAGATCAAAATAATTATTTGCTTTAAAAGGGCAGCATAATGTGGTGTTACAAACAAATTTGATATAAGGCTAACAGACCCACTTAGAGATGAAAATAGCAAGCAAATTTAACATATTATTAAAATAAGTTATGTAGGCATATTATTATCATTATGTATCAGCTCTTGTGCATTGATTACAGTTTACTTTTAATTATCATACCCTCAACCATTCAAAAATTCTTTAAACGAATAAAATGCATAACTCACTATTTCACGTGCGACTTATTTTACTTCTTATATACGACAGCTGTTCTTAAATAAAACTAAACTTACTGTTGAGTAATAGTCACTTACCTTCGGCCTTTACTTATTTTTGGAAGAGGTTAAATTGTGACCATCGTGTTAGAGTGAATCTGAGCATCGTGGCAGCAAATGTGTGGAACACTACCTTATGTCTTCGTTGCGCTAACTAAAGTATTGATAGAATTGAGTGAATGCAGTTACAATGCAATGCAATACAATATTTAGGAAATTAGCTAGGAGTGAAGTATATGTCTCGAGTATAAACTTGTACAGAATAAAATTATCCAATACTTTGTAAACATAATCTCTTGATCAAGTAACTTTGCTGATAATTCGATAATGCTATGTCAGCAGTAACCTGAAATGGAAAGCGCCAACTCCTCACTCACAGTAGTCAACGTTGATGTTGGAATGTTATTAGTGACGATAAATAGATTTAGCATGAGATTTCATTCGGTGGTCCATGAACTAGCGTGAGTCCGCGGCCGCCCCGTGAGCTCTCTGTCAATACTCGAGAGCACTCAAAAGACGATGAGTTTTGTAATATTAGGCGATGGACGCGGCGAGCTCGACACTGTTACGCCATATCCGCACTGCGAGAGTCCATTCACTTATGAAATTATTTATTGGAACACAACTCTACAATCTTTTCTAGTCTACAACGTAATCAGAACTCTAACCGTGCAACAATAATGCTCCAAATGTGTTTGTATTTAAATGATGATTGCGCAGATGTATTGCAAAAATAACGAATGCTGAGATTAGGTTACGTAATGGATGCTGATTTGCTTGTTCGATTGGAGCGCCGAGAGCGCGGAGAGCGCCGCACCGCGCGCCGCCCGTAGACACACAGGCGGCAACTAATCTTATCTGACAACTTGAGCTCGACTCTCATTAATTTTGGTGAGCCTGTTTGATGTCTTCCAGGCGCAAAATCGAAAGAAGAAGAACAAATATTTATCTTTATTTTACCACCAGTGGTGATCGAAACACAAATATCATTTTGAATGGCGACGTAAATGATAGCTAATTTTCTGAAGTAATGCACCTGCAAATTTTTTCTCTCTTGTAATTTAAACAAAACTATTACAAAAGAACAGGATTGAAAAAAAATACATAATCTTTTTGTAAAGCACACCCCTGAGATCATCATTTAAACCTGTGGAGCCCTGGTTAAAAACAATATTCAACGAATACATCAAATGTTAAAGTAAAATATTGTATATATGTAACACGATCTCCTTTAAGATCGTTTATCGCTCCACAAGGCCACACAAACAACCTTTTTTATCACTTTTTATTTATTTCATATTTTCTAAAAAGCATGCACTTGTTAGTGACATTGTTTGTAATAGACATCTCATTTGTTAACGTCACACGTGCGTTACACAAACGATATTTACGTTCCGTATTAATCTAAACGCCGTGGAGTCGTTCAATAAATTGTGTGAGACTTCTCGTCGGCTGGTGCGATAAATAAATAATGGATATGTGATTTAATTTTTCATCGTGCAGATTGAGGCCCGCAACCCGTGTCGGGTCGCACATGCTAGCGACGTCACTCGTAATAATGTTCGGGGTAATATATGTATGTCAACGTATTTGTGCCATACTTAGTTAATAGTATGTTTGTCAATGAATCGAGTCGCTCTTTGTTGGATGCGGTCCAGACGGAGAAGCTGAGTGCCACTGTATAGGGATGAGAACAGTGATCTATATATGGGCGGACTTGCGCCTTATAGAGCTGGAGGCGGTGAGCCAGAGTGAAATACTGCCTTGATCTGTTCAGCACACCGAGCTTCTTCAAGGCTAATTTATACTTAATTACCCCCTAAGCGACCCTGATACTTTACTTCGTTCGATATGTCGATGCCTGAGATTCCGATACTGGCTGAGGTTCTAGAGATGAGGGTTCTAGAGATATTTTGATCAAGTGACGTAGTTTCAACTCTGGGCAGGTTATTTTTTACTTTTTAGATACAGATTTCCAT